GCTTGGTAGAAGGGTTGATTGTGGCTTGGTAAGTTTTGTGCAAGTCCCGTTTTTTTGTGATGGAAAATGCAATTGACTTTTAACTTAATTTTGTCTTACAAAATATAATTTCCTTGCAGACGCTTTCGTCGTGACAAATCACGGGAACCGATCAAGACTAATTGGGAATTTATAACTAAGGTAGGCATTGCATTAGCTGAAGTTTCACTAGAACTCCAAGGTTCCTTTACATTAGAAATGCATTTGGTTCTTAATCTCCAGGGTTAAACTTTTGTCAAAGTATGTTAGTCGGTGTTGTCTATGATCTTTCAGATCGCAGAAGAATTTTTCCGCGATATTACCCATCATGTAGGATTTCCTCTCCGCCCTTTCACTGATTTATTATGCATACATGGTTATCATCCCACTCTGTATACAGCTGAACCTCCATTAAGTGGCCACCTATTAAGCAGCCATCCTCCATTAAGCGGCCAGTAATCAGGGGCACCCAACGACTGTTTTCTGTAAAATATCTGTTCGGGGAAGCAGATGCTGCCTAGAATTTACTATTGCTTGAGGACGGTTAAAAATTTCTAGATGAGTGACTTCCATTCACGTACACTTTTCGAAGCTTATCTACCTATTTCCCTACGATTTTCTGAAGTTTAATTCTTTACATTTCACTGCTCAGGTTAGGGTATTTCTCGTACGAAAAGGAAACCTAAAATTTTCGGATTCAAAAATGTGATGGAGAGAGGAATCATAAAAATTCTCACTTTCGTAATACGTTAAATTGCATCTAGAATTTTCTGCAAAATAATACTGAAGCCCTTGTAATTTCGTAAGGACAAAAGTTCCCTTAGGACGACTGAACAGGTACAAATTTTATAGTGCCCCTTAGAATGCATTTCTAGATATCTTAAAGTACTCTGGATAGCCTAAAAAACGATTCGGATGTATTTAGGAGGAAACTGTTGTAGGGTAATCAAAGTTCCGAAATAATTGTAGAAAAGAGAACACCCGACCGGCCACCTCTATTAAGCGGCGATCGCGGCCACCTTTGTGCCGTTCCAATAAGAGTTTTCCTATTTTTCCGATTTTTCTTACCTCTATTGAGCGGCCATAACAAACTAAGGTTAGGTTTATTTTAAAAATATGATAAAGGAAAATAGTCCGAGATAGAAGAGGACGTTCTCCCCGTATACGCCACTATACGGAGCCTGACCCCATGGGGCTTTTTATTATCTGAATGAAAACCTTTACGTTGATAATACAAATGACATTCAATTTTTTAAAGACGTACCGAGTGAAGGAAAATGGTGTATTTGCGCGATGGCGACATTTGATTACAACTAGTGGAATCATTTAGTAGTTTGGGGTTACATGTATCATTCTGAGAAACTGCTTACAGTGAAGCAAGCGCGCTCTACTGTCTGATCTACCAAACAATACAATACAGTATAAAACAGTATAAAGAAGTATAAAGCTTTAAAAAGCGTAACGCTAGAACTCATCCCCGTCACTAACCTGCATAACAGGCGCTTTATGAACCAAGCGAGGCGAACGTGGCATTTTAAGCGAAGCAACTTTTTCTTGGTAGAAAGGCCGATTGTTGCTTTGGGTAAGTTTTGTACAAGTCCTGTTATTTTGCGAAGGAAAATGGCAATTGACTTTTATACCTAAACTTGTCTCACAAAATATCATTTCCTCATAGACCCTTTCGTCGTGCCAATCAAGCGAACCGTTCAAGACTACTCGGGAATTTATAACCGAGGTAGGCATTGCATTAGTTGAAGTTACACTAGAACTCCAAGGTTCCTTTACCTTAGAAATGCATTTGGTTCTTAATCTTCAGGGTTAAACTTTTGTCAAAGTATGTTTCTGTTTCATATGACCGTGTTGTCTATAATCTTTCTGTTATCAGGGGACTTTTTCAGCGACAGTACCTTCCACTGATTTATCAGTTATACATGGTTATCATCCCACTCTGTATACAGTTGAACCTCCATTAAGTAGCCGCCTATTAAGCGGCCATCCTCCATTAAGCGGCCAGTAATCAATGTCCCGAAATAATTGCAGAAAAGAATGGGAAATTAAACCTCTATTAAGCGCCAACCTCTATTATACATTTGAACCATCAAGCGGCCATCCTCCATTAAGCGGCCACTAATCATGAGTAATCAAAGCCCCGAAAATTCTCCACCGCATAGCAATCATGGCTATTTTATCGTCGGTCACATCCTTATTACATAGCCAAACTTCGAATAAACACTTCGAACTTACAAGGGACCTATTCAAAAACAATATAGTATCTGCCATCGATTTCTAACGACCACACCTAGTTAGCAGAGGAAAATCAAGTTGAGGGAAAACTATCTCTCGTAATACTGCCACTGAAATTTGTCACCAGTCCGGTTGTCAAGAAAGTCTCAGGGCCGGGTAGGGTATATGACAGAACATCTGTGACAATGAAAATTCCATTTTACTTCAAATCACACACAAATGCGAGCCTTGCAAAGGTCACACAAGAGGCATATCGGCAGTGTAAGGAGAAAAACAGGAAGTCTGAGATCAACTTCCTCACTAAGATTCCATCAGTCTACATGTACAGAATTTGTCAGGGGCACCCAACGACGGGTTTCTACTAAATGCATTGAAAACACTTTTTAGGCTATCCACAGTACTTTTAGATCTTTAGAAATACATTCTTATCGGCGGGACTTTTCCGCGGGTGACGGGTGATGGGTGGCGGGAAAAAGTTTGCAGGTATATGGTTGTTTATCTCCAGAAAGAAAGGCATTCGTTTCATAATCTCCAGAAAATTTCGTCAAAGTATGTCTCTGTTGATGTATGTCTCCGAGATGGAAGGTGACGACCGATTGTGGACCAGTAATGCTGCCCCCGTTGCGTGACGGTTTTGAAATAAAGTGATGTTTCTGCGCAATTAAAAGTTATTATAATTTATGACATGGTCTATGACGAACGCTCGGCCACTTGCTGGTACCCCGAGGGTGGCCTTTTTAATGGCGGTTCAACTGAACGTACTCATAGTCATATTAGTCATTTGTGTTAAATTATAAGGGCTGCAGGCTGCATACAGAAATCTTTCTAATCTGGCTCATCCTCGAACGGCTGTATTTAAGGTCTCGGTAAAGGAAAACGAGGTGCCCACAGAAAAAAATTATAGTCGCGCGAGTGTTTTCGCTACAAAGGCAAGTTATAGATCAGTCTTAGATCAAATTAAAGCTAAAAAACTAAATTACCTTATAAAAGATTTTATTTCATCGAATTTTATAAGGCGCTTTAGTTTTTTGCTCTCGAACTCAGAGGTATCGAGTGTGAGGAAATTTGCATATGTCTCGTATTAGCGGAATTTTTGCATTTCAAACTAAAAAGTCGAATCTCGAGCGCGATTTACGCAAAGAAACTGACATAAAATGAATTACAAAGGGAAATCGGAAAATTCCTCACACCCGTTTTTAGGTCTTTTATCTGTCAATCAGATGCAATAAAAAGGAAGTGAATATTTAACAACGGGAAAGGGCTGGAGCTTCAGCAGTAAACTCGATACCTCTGAGTTCGAGAGCAAAAAACTTAAGCGCCTTTTGAAATTCGATGAAATAAAATCTCTTATAAGGTAATTTAGTCTTTTAGCTTTAATTTGATATATAACTTGCCTTTGTAGCCAAAATACTCGCGCGACTAGAATTTTTTTCTGTGGGCACCTCGTTTTCCTTTACCGAGACCTTAAAACGAACTTGAAATCATCGTAAGTGCATATAACACAAAGAAACTCAAAGAAGTCAATAGCAGAGAAACACCAAGGAAAATAGGGGGGAAAAAAATCCCCAGGTTATTACGCGTTCTGAGTTAGACTTAAGCTGGAACCGAGCAGGGTTAGTAGCCAGAAGAGCTCCCTTTTCCACTCCCCTTTTCCATTATCAATAAATTTCTAAAAATCCACAAGCTTAAAAGATTTAAAATAACCGTGGCATTCTCCGTGTTATGTAGCCTGAATTTCATCCGATTACTTCGAGTCGTTATTACTCCCTCAGTTCTTGAGAGGAGAAAACGACTCGAAGAAATCGGATGAATTTCAGGCTACGTGTTATGATGATTAAAAAATAGATTTTCTTTTCATTTGCGCGCGGCACACTTATATTCCGCTAGCAACAGATGTTTACCCTTAGAAAATAAATTCACTTTCCGCCGAGAGGTTTCCATTGAGAGTTCCGAATGTTCCCGCTGGCCTGCTTTGTAGTTTGTTGGCAACAGCTCAGTAGATTTATAAATCATATACACCGTGTTTTAGCAATGGTTAATCTTTCGTTTTTTTTCTTTAGAAATTTATATCATTATCACTGACCCAAAAGAATATTATTTCCCTTTCTTAGAGAAGAGCCCAGTCCATCAGGTCATATTACTCAACGATAAAAAAAAAAGGTAGAAAGGTCACTATTTGTGGAAAATCAAATGACACTATGATAAGACAAAACTTAATGATATATAGGACCTAACAAATACGCTTTTACTCTAGGTTTTAATTTTACATTTTTTCTTCCTTATCGTACATAAAGAGAAATATTATCAGCGGAGGAAAAATGAAACCACCACATATCTATACTTTTTTCAGACGAGCTGAAATAGCAAAGCCAGCAAAACAAGTATGACAACCACAACTAGTAACAGTAATATTGGTGACGCCAATGTCAACTCTAAAGATTTCCAGTACGCCCTAGGCTTGTTTTATTTCAGTAGTGGAGATTCTCGGAAAGCCATAGAGTACCTTGAACGATACCTCAAAATTTCGAAAGAAGAGGGAGACAGAGCAGAAGAAGGGAGTGCGTATTGTCATCTTGGCAACGCCTATTACAGGCTTGGAGATTTCCAGAAAGCCATAGAGTATATACCATGAACGACACCTCAAAACTTCTAAAGAAGTGGCGGACAGGGCAGGAGAAGGAAATGCGTACGGTAATCTTGGCAACGCCTATGACAGTCTTGGAGATTTCCAGAAAGCCATAAAGTACCATGAACGACACCTCAAAATTTCGAAAGAAGTGGCAGATAGGGCAGGAGAAGGAAAAGCGTACGGTAATCTTGGCAACACCTACAGAAATCTTGGAGATTTCCAGAAAGCCATAAAGTACCATGAACGACACCTCGAAATTTCGACAGAAGTGGGAGACAGGGCAGGAGAGGTAAGAGCATACTGTAATCTTGGCAACGCCTATGACAGTCTTGGAGATTTCCAGAGAGCTATAGAGTACCATGAAAGAGACCTCAAATTTTCGAAAGAAGTGGGAGACAGGGCAGGAGAGGGAAGAGCATACTGTAATCTTGGCAACGCCTTTATAGCGCTTGGAGATTTCCAGAAAGCCACAGATTACCATGAACGACACCTCAAAATTTCGAAAGAAGTGGGAGACAGGGCAGGAGAAGGAAAAGCGTACTCTCATCTTGGCAACGCCTATCACAGAATTGGAGATTTCCAGAAAGCCATAGAGTACCATGAACGAGGCCTCAAAATTTCGAAAGAAGTGGGAGACAGGGCAGGAGAAGGAAAAGCGTACGGTAATCTTGGCAACGCCTATCACAGTCTTGGAGATTTCCAGAAAGCCATAGAGTACCATGAACGAGGCCTCAAAATTTCGAAAGAAGTGGGAGACAGGGCAGGAGAAGGAAAAGCGTACGGTAATCTTGGCAACGCCTTTAGAGATCTTGGAGATTTCCAGAAAGCCATAGAGTACCATCAACGAGATCTCAAAATTTCGAAAGAATTGGGAGACAAAGCAGGAGAAGGAAAAGCATGCGGCAATCTTGGCAACGCCTTTAGTGATCTTGGAGATTTCGACAAAGCCATAGACTACCTTGAACGAGACCTCAGAATTTCGAAAGAAGTGGAAGATAGAGCAGGAGAAGGAAGAACGTACGGTAATCTTGGCAACGCCTATTACAGGCTAGGAAATTTTAAGAAAGCCATAGAGTACCATGAACGACACCTCAAAATTTCAAAAGAAGTGGGAGACAGGGCAGGAGAGGGAAAAGGGTACAGTAATCTTGGCATCGCCTTTAGAAATCTTGGAGATTTCCAGAAAGCCATAGAGTACCTTAAACGACACCTCAAAATTTCGAAAGAAGTGGGAGACAGGGCGGGAGAAGGAAGAGCGTACGGCAATCTTGGCAACGCCTATGACAGCCTTGGAGATTTCCAGAAAGCCGTTCACTATTATCAAAACAGTGTCATTGCCTTCGACCAGATCAGGGGAAATCTCATATCTAATGACGAATGGAAGATTAGCCTAAAGAGTACGTATGATCATATTTATTTGAGGCTATGGGGCCTACAGTTTAAGCAAGGTAAATTCATCGAGGCCCTGATAACTGCTGATCATGGACGTGCACAAGCTTTCAATGATCTTCTGGAGTTCAAGTATGGGTTGAAAGGGTTACGTCCAGAAATAGGAACACTCTCTGCAACAACGCCCGACATTCTTAGTTACCTGCCACCAAATACAGCTTTTATAGGTATCGACGAGGGAGGAATAGTTCTCTGGGTGAATGAGAAAGGAAAAGAAATCAAAACAAGAAGAACTCCGATCGATGTTTCCGTTACAACCTATTTTCAGTCTCTATTGGAGGCTACACGGAAAGAAATAGGTGTGAGGGCTGATGCTAACTGTGAAGATCGCTCATTAAGGAACCCAAGCGATAAAAAGTTAGCAGAAGAAAGATCCCTCTGTAAGTCAAGGTCTCAATCCTCATGTTTTGAGACAAAGTCATTACAAACATGGTACAATGTTGTTATAGACCCTATTAGAGACTTACTCGACGGCAATAAAATTGTGATTGTTCCAGAAGGACCTCTGTGTTTGGCGCCTTATGCTGCTTTCATGGACAAGAAATCAAAGTACCTCTGTGAAACGTTCAGGATTTGTCTGCTCCCCTCGCTTTCTAGTCTTCGATTAATCCAAGACTGTCCAGCAGATTGGCACAGCAAGACTGACGCTCTTCTTGTCGGCGATCCGTGGGTTCAAGAGGTAATTTATGAAGGAGAGAAATTAAAGCAGTTAGAGTACGCCGAAAAGGAAGTGCAGATGATTGGGGAAATACTTCAAACTGCACCTCTCGTTGGAAAGCATGCAACAAAAGATGAAGTTTTAAGACGTATTTCCTCGGTTGGTTTGGTGCACATTGCTGCTCACGGTAAAATGGAAACAGGAGAAATTGCCTTGGCCCCTAACACAACACGTTCATCCCCGATTCCTGTCAAAGAGGACTATCTCTTAACTATGAAAGATGTTTTAAAGGCGCAGATTGAGGCAAGACTTGTTGTACTCAGTTGCTGTCATAGTGCTCGCGGAGAGGTCAAATCTGAGGGCGTGGTCGGTATTGCACGGGCCTTTTTGGGTGCTGGTGCTCGTTCTGTTCTGGTCTCCCAATGGGCGATTGACGACGAGGCTACGATGGAGTTCATGAAATTTTTCTACCGACAACTAGTCAATGGAAGAAGTGCCAGTGAGGCTCTGAATGAGGCCATGAAATCCATGAGAGAATCTGACTGCTTTAGCGGAGTGAAGTACTGGGCACCGTTTGTTCTCATTGGTGACGACGTGAGGCTTGAGTTTGAGGGCATCAAATAAATAGCAAGGTATTTTGGGATGTATTTAAACCTGGGATCCTATTACGTGCTTAAACAAAATTTTTATTAGGCAGCGAACTTAACCGGTGCCACTTAACTTTAAGCTGCCAATCACAGGCCATGTCAGCAGTTAAAATGGACTCTGTCTTTAGTATTTTTTAGGCAGTCAAACACGAGAACATTTCTGTACATTACAAAGTGTCGATGACCCTGTTTGATTTCGTTCCATTGTAATATTTATACAGTAAAACCTGCCGTAAGGGAGCACCTAAAATGCCAATATTTGCCGGTCGGTTACGTTTGTTCTCATTGGTAAGGACGTGACGCTTGAGTTTGAAGGCATCAAATAAATAGCAAGGTATTTTGCGATGTATTTAAACCTGGGATCATATTACGTGTTTAGACAAATATATTATAGGGCAACAAACTCAACCGGTGCCGCTTAACATCAAGCTGCCAATCACAGGTCATGTCAGCAGTTAAAATGGACTCTGACTTAAGGATATTTTAGACAGTCAAACACAAAACATTTCTGTACATTACAAAGTGTCGGTGGCCCTGTTTGAGTTCGTTCCATTGTAACATTACAGTAGAACCTGCCGTAAGGGACCACCTGAAATGCCAATATTTGCCGGTCACTTACGAACGGTAGTCGCTTAGGAGTGGTTCCAGGTATGGTGCTTTGGGTGGAAAAATGATTTTGGTATTTTTGATGAGTGGTCGATTATGAGATGCAACAGAGGTCATACTCATCGACCGAGAGGTAGGAACCTACCGTAAATCCTCTATTAACCCCCTCCCCCGGGGACTTATTTCTTTCAAGCATGTTTAAGGGGGGGTAATGGAGAGGGAGTTACTTTATTAAGCGAAGAATATGGTATGACTATCGATTCTGTATTCCGAATAGAGACCGAAGCTAAAGTAGAAAAACTGAAGCATATGAAGTTGGAGGTCGCGCAGCCGAAGATCAAAAACAAATTTGAACTTCCAGGACATGAATAAACCATACGGGATCAGTCCAAGTGAGGTGTTACAATCGTGATTAATTATTACATCTATCATACGTCTATGGTCTAAGAATAGGGGGAGGGGGGCTTAAAAGGAAAGAATTTTCTTCCCTGAAATTGGGGGGGAGGGGCTTATTGGATAGGGGGGCTTCATAGAGGATTTACGGTATGAAAGTATCAATAATCTACAATAAGGCTCTTTGTAGAAGGAAGTTACCAGTTTAAATATTATCCTTTGCTCTAACAGATTTAGAATATTGTACCTCGCTAGCTGAAATCACTATCCTTTCCTTTTACTAGCTTGCTAACGTTTCTTTTCGCTGTTTTTGTTGTATAGGTACGAAGCGAATGCAGTGAAGCGGTTCCCATCTGAAGTTGAACTCAGTTTTTTTGTGTAACAAATACAAAGTGGAGTGTTCATCGCGTTGGAACTCCTAATCCCGAAGAGAAAATCAAGTGTACTTTTCGTAGATTGAGTCAGAAGACTAGTCGTGTGCACACCTTGTGCGGTAGTAACTTGTTCAGTGGTCACCTGAGAAGGACATCAGGAATCAGTAGTCAATTCGTATTTTCACTATTATACCATATTTTACAGAGTCATTTTAGACGTGTCTATTGACAATATGATATAGTTTTTGATGCTTTTATTATAGTTACACAGTTGCAGTTTTTATTCTTTTGGCTGATCAGTTTACTCTTACTCTCTACAAAGGTCTCAATTCTAATTTTGCAATCATATTGCTTGTTCAATTACTGGGTTAAATCACTAATTTTGTAGTTTTACATTTACTCGCTTTTAGTTATGCATAGGACTGCTATTTCATAGGCTTGTTCGCGTGCGTTTTGTTTCAATATCAAGTTTTCTTATTTCTATTGTTGGCATCTTTTATCTGCAAGTTGGTCTGCAAGTTGGCCGTTTACTGTACCCCTTTTTCCTGTCACACTATTCATTTGTTTAACTGCGTATAAATTTTTTATACGACTCCTTAATTCAGTTTCTCCAGTTTTTTGGCTCGGCTAGTTAGCTTTGCTATTTACCTGTGGAGCTTAGCTCCCCAGAAGGTCTCGACCTCTGGTAATTTTTTACTATTTGGCCAACTCATGATCAGTCACCCCTCCCCTTCACAACTTAGATCTTCGTGTCGACAATCGATACACAGCGAGGAACTCGGAGACAAACGATTTGGTTTCTTAGGACAGTGTAAGAACCTGAGAGACCTTGTTGGGCAATTGAAACAACCCCAGCAACAGGGTAAGGTTCTATACTAAATTAGTCATACGTATTCAAAGCAACATCTGGTATTAACTGTGCTATCTCACGGCGTCTTCAGCCCTGTTGTGACACCGCGTGAACGGATGGCTCTACGCAAGTTTGCCAAAAAAAAAAAAAGAAGCCATATGAATTGACCTCACGAAGTGTCTTTGGCACAAACCCTACAAATTCCAGTTAGCGTACTCTATTTTATTTGCTTATTTTATTGCTTTGTTAATTGGACCCCCGAGGCCCCTATATTCAGGCTAGTTCGGTTTATGCCGCGGTTCAGGCACAAAATCAAATACAAAATTTCAAAAACCAGAAAAACAAATATAAAAAAAATTCAAAACTAAACGCAAAATACATNTATTTTATTTGCTTATTTTATTGCTTTGTTAATTGGACCCCCGAGGCCCCTATATTCAGGCTAGTTCGGTTTATGCCGCGGTTCAGGCACAAAATCAAATACAAAATTTCAAAAACCAGAAAAACAAATATAAAAAAAATTCAAAACTAAACGCAAAATACATGGTTCCAGTTTTATTTGCTGCGCTTTTGTTTCTTCTCTTTAAGACAATTATCGTTTTAACTTCATGTTTTTTCTCTCCACTCAGCTGAGGACAGCTGAAACTTAAGGTGGAGGAATGTGAAAAGAGGATTTATTGTTATTAAGTTATTTTGTTTTCGCTGATAAAAATATGAAAAGCCAATGGAGAAATTCTTTATTCTTTAGTCTTAGCCTCTCTAAACCGTAAACAACCTGTTGATATTTACTGAGTGTAAACTTATTTGTCGAGTCATGATTGTAGCAGCCTCCGAGCTATAATCAACCTGTGACGAACGGTTATCTACTTGTGTAAACTTTTGGAAGTAATTAATGTTTCACTACAAGCTTCCATTTCCACCTAAAGTCTTTCAGAAATGATTTTTGTACTCGGTTATTTTGACTCGTTGAGTTATGATGTAATCTGTATCGCATCATTAGCTTAGACTTAAATACAAGTGCTTTGTATGAATTTCTTCGGTTACATCCTGGTTACGTCTTGGATTAAACCTCTGCATTGGAGCCAAGTTCTGTGTACAATTGTTGTCTCAAGGGTATTCACCAGGCGTAAGGGATTCCGCGCCTTTTCGCAGCCAGCGAGTGTGCCCAGGAAAAGGCCCTTCCCAGAGAACATTGTAGAGTTTTCCCGGTCGTCCGTTTATCCTTTTGTGAAGGCAAAAACCTATTTCCACACTGGTGTTTAAGTGAAAAAGCTGTTTTCAAATTTCTTTTCCCAACGAAAAATTCTAATGATCCAGATTTTTTATCTGATCTTAGATTTTAATAAACAAATGCTCTCTGAGTTTCCAGCTCGGCTAGTTAGCTTTTTTATTTAGCTGTCAGCTGCCCAAAATGTCTTGATCTCTGGTAATTTTTTACTGTGTGGCCCTCTCAGTCACCCCTCCCTTCACAACTTAGTTCTTACTGTGTGGCCCCCCCAGTCACCCCTCCCTTCACAACTTAGTTTTTACTGTGTGGCCCTCTCAGTCACCCCTTCCTTCACAACTTAGTTCTTACTGTGTGGCCCTCACAGTCACCCCTCCCTTCACAACTTAGTTTTTACTGTGTGGCCCTCTCAGTCACTCCTCCCTTCACAACTTAGTTCTTACTGTGTGGCCCTCACAGTCACCCCTCCCTTCACAACTTAGTTCTTACTGTGTGGCCCTCCCAGTCACCCCTCCCTTCACAACTTAGTTCTTACTTTGTGGCCCTCTCAGTCACCCCTCCCTTCACAACTTAGTTCTTACTGTGTGGCCCTCTCAGTCACCCCTCCCTTCACAACTTAGTTCTTACTGTGTGGCCCTCTCAGTCACCCCTCCCTTCACAACTTAGTTCTTACTGTGTGGCCCTCTCAGTCACCCCTCCCTTCACAACTTAGTTCTTACTGTGTGGCCCTCTCAGTCACCCCTCCCTTCACAACTTAGTTCTTACTGTGTGGCCCTCTCAGTCACCCCTCCCTTCACAACTTAGTTCTTACTGTGTGGCCCTCTCAGTCACCCCTCCCTTCACAACTTAGTTCTTACTGTGTGGCCCTCTCAGTCACCCCTCCCTTCACAACTTAGTTCTTACTGTGTGGCCCTCTCAGTCACCCCTCCCTTCACAACTTAGTTCTTACTGTGTGGCCCTCTCAGTCACCCCTCCCTTCACAACTTAGTTCTTACTGTGTGGCCCTCTCAGTCACCCCTCCCTTCACAACTTAGTTCTTACTGTGTGGCCCTCTCAGTCACCCCTCCCTTCACAACTTAGTTCTTACTGTGTGGCCCTCTCAGTCACCCCTCCCTTCACAACTTAGTTCTTACTGTGTGGCCCTCTCAGTCACCCCTCCCTTCACAACTTAGTTCTTACTGTGTGGCCCTCTCAGTCACCCCTCCCTTCACAACTTAGTTCTTACTGTGTGGCCCTCTCAGTCACCCCTCCCTTCACAACTTAGTTCTTACTGTGTGGCCCTCTCAGTCACCCCTCCCTTCACAACTTAGTTCTTACTGTGTGGCCCTCTCAGTCACCCCTCCCTTCACAACTTAGTTCTTACTGTGTGGCCCTCTCAGTCACCCCTCCCTTCACAACTTAGTTCTTACTGTGTGGCCCTCTCAGTCACCCCTCCCTTCACAACTTAGTTCTTACTGTGTGGCCCTCTCAGTCACCCCTCCCTTCACAACTTAGTTCTTACTGTGTGGCCCTCCCAGTCACCCCTCCCTTCACAACCTAGTTCTTCGTGTCGGCAACCGATATACAGTTTTGGTTTTCTAAAGGTGATGCTACGCGAGACGATTTTAGCGCGACACAGCGTTGCAACATTGTTGCGACATTCTTTCGAATAGTTACAACATTGTTCCAACATTGCAACGTTATGTTGCGCTAAAAATCGTCGTTGCGAATCGTTCCGTGTAACATCGCAGTTAGGGGGGCTGTTACCCTTTTTTTTCCTTTTAAGCCCGAAAGGGCTTAAAAGGGTGAGTGGTGAAAGGGAAAGGGCGCTGAAAGGGTGGGGGTCGGAGGAGGGGGTGAGGACATAAAAAATCTGAATAGTACATCATTTTCAAAGGAATTACCTTAATTAATTCTTAGAAATGGTTATTCCCAAGAGAGTCGCATTGTTTGAAGTTGAATTCTAACATATGGAAATTTGTCAATTCGTGTGGAGTGGTCAAACAGTCGTTTTACCAGAAAGAGATGAGTAACTCAGCGGAATACTATTCTTAACGTTAAGTCAGAGTAGTTTTGGAAACTCTTTCGGACCTCCCACCGCGACAGAGTTTTGTGTCAGTTGTCCAACGAATCAAACAACGACGTTCGCGGGTAAACGTTGAAGATATAATGTCAAATTCGTTTAAAAGTGACGCGGTAAGTCATGCGAATATCTAGTTTGCGCTATGACAACAGCTGCCGAAGATTTAGTGAAGTCCAAGAAAATGTGGTAAGTACACTAAATCGAAAAATTCTGACTAGTGTAGTTTTAGTAGGATGGTTAAACATGTTGAGCCGGGGAATATGATATGAGCAGGGAATGAAAAAATATATTCCATTGTTCTGTTATTGTTATCAGCTACCAATTGTTTCAACCCCACGCCCCGCCCCAATTACAGTCAAAGCCGCCACCAACTTTTCAGACAGTGAATAATACCGTGTGGGATTATGTAACATATTCCCCTAAAAAGAACAAAAAAACCGAGCAAAGGGAAAATAATTTCTGTAAATACACTGTCTTTAAAATATGAATAAATAAGAAAACCAGAACGTGTTCCAGAATTTTTCACACCCATAAAATACATCTCTGAGCATGCTCAGCACTTTTGGGCCTTTTAACAGACCGAAACAGGAGCCCATAACCCGGAGTGAGCAACTCCCATACTAGGCCTATGTCACGGCGTTTTTACGGAGCAGTTTATTTTTACACACATTTTAGGGCTCTTTTTCCAGCGAACACAGAATCTCCACCATATCTCTGAGCGCATTCGAAGTATAAGATATCAAAAAGGAAAACTAAACGTTATTAAAAGGCACAAAATATAATTTTTAGATCTGTAGGTTTTGCTGGCTGGTTTGTGGAATTTAAAAGATATTTAAAATTCGCGCCAAAACCGTTCTAAAAATACACTGGTCCATGAAAAAGCCGTCAGATACGAGCTCATGGAAGTTGCTCGGTCCGGGTTATGGGCTCCTGACCGAAACTGACAGTTGTCCCGCTACCTTTTCATATACTTCAACTGGTGAAATCCCTTTTCTTTCATACTGACCTGAAGCCTGAAAAAGATACCCTTTTCGGGCGGAGTCTTCCTGTGTAGGCCATTACAGAAACTTGAAAGTACCCCCCGTGTGGCATTTCATTCTCCGAAAAGAAACCTCGACGTTTATACCACCAAAATGATATTCGGTTATTGAAGATATACCGACTCTAAATTCAACTTCATTTTCTATCACCTGAAAAGAGGGTTTTTAGAAGTGTTAAGGGTAGGGGTAAACATTGAATGAAAGTAAGCGTCTGGCATATAGTATAGCTATATACTGATTCTGCACAACCACTGATATGATCATGAGCGGGGAAATGTGTCAAACCTGAAGTTACCCCGACTGAAGCACTGCTGTCAATTCCGTGTATCCTGGACATCTTTTGTGTCTGTTATAGAGAAGTGACTACCTATATAGAAAGTCAAAGAAAGGTACTGAAGCAAAGCATTTCCCGCCCCTCCCATTTTCTCAGGAAAACGCCCTGGGAACGAGGTTAAAGCGGGGACCCCCTCTTTGGTCCTCTTTGAGTCCGTTGTAGGGAGGTGGCCGTTAAGAGACTGGGAACTATATTGCCGCCAGATCACAGAAAACTTCAAATCTCAGAGCCGGAACAAAGACATCCGAGAGGGGGAGAGGTTGAGGCTTAAATTCTTCAACAGAAAGAAAACATTGGACCGTGATTTTACCAGCATTGTAGGAGATTCCCGTAAGATGTTTCACAGACCCTTGGCACTGCAGGATGAAAGGGGGTGGTACTTCCTTATATGATGGAAGGGTAGGAGTTTTGGGCCTTTTTGGTCTGAAAACACTTTGCCAGTTTTGGTGTGGAATCGGGTATGGTTTTCGAGGGAACTACGGGAGCGTACATGAATGGACGGATTTATCGTTTCAATTCCAAACGAATAAGAACGAAATAGAAATGTGCGAATTCGAAATGCATTTGGAGAATTTTTTTGTTTCCGCTCTAACTTGGTAATGATGACATAATTTCTGCCTAATTAGACCTAAACTATTCCAGGCTCTGAGATAGTTGGGTCCGCTGAAATGAGAAAGCGAAAACACGAAAATAAAACGAGTGAAAACTGGGGAGTCTCCCCAACTATCTGAGAGTCTGGAACAGGCTAAATTAGGCCAGGTCTGAAAATGGGTATGGATTTTAGAGATCTGGTCTGAAAACGGATGTGGAAAATGGCATTTTTTCAGGGTCTGCAATAACGTCAGGATTCGGAGAACCGAGCACCACACCCCCACCAAGAATTCCCAGTGGTACCACCCTCCGGGGATCAGGAGCAGGGTGTAAATCATGTCATCATAATCATCGCTTAGAATATAACGTTGGATGACTCATTTCGGTTATTATTCACGTATGTGAGTAATCCCTCCCCCCTAATACTGCTTTTGTGCATCGCGGAATGCCCTACATTGACCTTCTCGTCTGAGTTCCTTCATTCAGTCCTCATATTCCCAAGGCTTTATTTGAAACGGAATTGTGGCATCCGATAAGAAATTTACTGATCTGACTTACATCAATACTATTTTTTTTAAATTCAATGCTTCTTATTGGTTTAAAACTGCAAATTGAAATCTCTTCTAACTCCCTCCTTTTATAAAATTCAGAGTTTAATTTCAGTTGCCTTGAGTACCGGCATAACCTTCCTTCTCCGTGGGAAGAATAGACTACGTGAGGAATGTTAAAGCTGGGACTACTGTTTTTGCTAGTCCGCTTTCCATTTCTCTCGGTTTTACCTTTCTAAAGTCGTTTTTATATACATAGTCTGTAGTCCGCGTTTTATACCTAGTCCGTGTTTTATACTCAGTCCGGAGTCCGCATTTTATACCTAGTCCGTATCAGAGTAGCCTGATTCTCAGACGTCCGAGGTCGTTCGCGGTCCCTTTCGCTTCCCTCCCTCTCCCGTCTGATATACTCTGTGCGAAGTCGTGTTCGTGACGTCAGAGCCCTTTGTGTATATGAAAAGCCAATCACAACGCGCGTAAGAAATGAAGCATGGAAGAAAATACCACGCAGCACTCTCCTTTCTCAATCCTCATGTCAAGTACCTTATCCTCTCCTATCGAGCAAGCTGAGATGCCACATTTCCGTAAGTAACTTGTTTGATCTTCCATGAGGCTCACTAAAGGGGATATTATAATTATTACTGGGTTCGCTGCAAATCCATCGCGGCCTCGTGATAACTCGGCGTGAACTAAAGGAGCCATCTGGAACACAAGAGACTTTCCAAACCCCGTTGGCAAGTTCAGAAGGACGTCAGTACCATAAACAAACGTTTTAAGCGCTTTGAACTGTTCGGGGAACAGTGTTTCCACGCCAAAAACTTGGCAAGCGTTTTGCACGGCTGAATCGAAACCTTCCACATCTTCCGCCATTTTGATTTGACTCGATGTGTGGGAAATTACATTCCATACATTCCACACTTCTCGAAATATGGTACACGCGCTCTGATTGGTGAAAATTGGCAATGACTCTGACGTCACGAACACGACTTCGCACAGAGTATATCAGACGGGAGAGGGAGGGAAGCGAAAGGGACCGCGAACGACCTCGGACGTCTGAGAATCAGGCTACTATCAGAGCGGATAAAGGTTGGGCGGTGAAACGAGCGCGTCCGAGCAAAAAGGTGTGATGCAGTGGACTGGGACTCTGCTTAGAAATGTCGCTTGTTTTCGACTTCGGTCAGGGCTTCTGATGTGGTTTGTACATTAGATACTGCCGCTGTCACTGAATTATGGCAGCTTGATTTATTTTCTTGCTCTTCTTCCTCGTTCCTTTGTGCTGGTACGCTGTCTCCGAGAGGCAAATGTTGCTATTTTTTGCGGGAGGTTTAGTTGGAGTAGACAAACATCTCTTTCAAAGGGTTTCTTTTATTACTTCCATGACTCTACCACTGAAATATATTTTCGTTCTGCTACTCGCCAATGTCGATGTTATTTCAAAACAAAAACGACTATGTACTGTCTAAAACACGAAGGAAAATCTCATCCATGTCATCCAAGGCAAAACTAAATGACAGCAGATCTTGTTTCATAACTAGATGACGTGTATTTTTTAAATGCGTGCAGCTCGTGCAAGGTGAAGTTATGCTAATTTCAATCACCAAAATCATCCTTCTTTTTAATTTTGAAAAAAACATCTCATACGTCTTTCTGTTTGTTCGAAACTTCAAAATTAGTTTCCCCACAGTTTTTACTGTTTACCTTGTTTAGTTTTAGAGAGAAAAACTGAGAAAAAAACCTTACAACAAACCTCAATAAATTTTGTTTACATGCGGTTGCCAGATTTGCAACGCATTGCGCGAATCGCCATGGCGCGTTGCACCCGAGAAGCAAAGTTTGAAGAAGTACAACGCCACTATATCAATATATATCAATCTAATTTTCTGGTATGTTATATAAAATTTATCCCCCTTTAACATATGTAAAAATTGAGGTTAAGAAGTGTTAAGCTTTTGCAAACGAAACGGCGAAAGACGATTAGGTGATATTTAGTGGAAGGAGGAGGTATTCAACACTTTCAAATTAAACTCAAATTTTGGCATTATACGACTAACAAGTTTGACTTCTAGACGTACAGACACAAACATATGAAACTGTTTATTGATATTGTTATGAAACGAATTTATCTATTTTAACATTGTAGCCTGAAATTACCGAAAGAAAATAGGATTTCCGGTTTGCAAAAAGGAAAATTTCGCCGGCCTTCAAGCGCACCGGAAGCGCGGAAAGAGCGCTCGTGCCAGTCCTACTCCGCATCACACATTAAATGAAGAGCGGAGCGCTCGTTTCACCGCCCAACCTTTATCCGCCCTGGTCCGTATTTTATACCCAGTCCGCAGTCCGTGGTCCGCAGTCCGCAGTCCATGTTTTATACTGACCGAATTCAAACTACAAAACTATCGATCCCACCGAGATTTTACTTCCACGATGTATTAGAGCAGCTAAAAACTAATTTTCATACAAATTTCGCTTCAAAAGGGTTCTTGGTTTTGTGATAGAGTACGCTTGAATTTCTAAGCTTTTGCGTGACGCGACATTTGCATGACGTTCAAGAGAGACGGTCGTGTAGGTTAAAAAAATGACTTATTTTAGGGAATTTTCCTATCTAAACAGTTCATGTATTAGAAAAAGTATTACTTTAATGTTTATGAGTTCGTCTAAGAATAAATTCACGTTTTTGTAGCAAAACTCGGTAACAGATGTTTCTGTTGGTTTCCGTCCGCCATGTTGGTGCTCATCCGGGTGAGCACCAGCATGGCGTCTCCATACAAATCTCTATAAATTTGGGTAAAACGTTTCTTCGAATATCTCGCAATTTGGCGAGGGTCTTTGCATATTTACCTCCCCTTTCATTTCCCAGATTCTGGACTTTATCTGTTCAACGGTTTTGATTTTTATTTTGATCTATTTTGAATGGCGTGACACTGAAACTGAAAACCAGCAATGGTGAGAGTCCCTGTTGATACCCGCCATCCTCAGCAACACAATAATTATTTACTCTATTTCTCTCCTGCCCTCCCGATCCCATCCCTGACATTTTACGGACCTCCTCCCCCGAGCCTCTCGATGTTCTGTGATGCACGTATTTCTACTTTATTTTATTTTTTCTCCTTAATAAGTTGGGATAAGGCCATTTTATCCGACGTCACGTAGTTTGGGATACCTGTGCAAATTCCAGTTTTGCATGACCAGGAGACCCTGGAAACGAGTTCATGGGGTCATACATGAACTACTGACCCACATTTGAGTAATTTTGTTTTAAAATTTCCTTCTGAGGTTGCTTCTTTACGAGTGATCTTATTTTGATGAGCTACCCTTTAACAGGTATGTTTAGATTTTAGGTGAAAGTATGTCGTTCATTTCCGAAGAGTAGCTTTGTAGTAGTTGATCAGTAGTTCCAATATAACTGCATGCACAACTGCATGCAGCGCTATGATTTGCAAACAACTGGAACGTTTTGGATACATTTAGCCTATTTTATCGTCCTGTAACAATTTCAAAAGCCTCAATTTGAGCAAGGGAAATGATTTAACGTTTGAATCCCTGCCCGTACTTGCCAGCCTAGGATAAATGGTGAGCTATGAGTCTGTAGTTACATACATTTTGTACGGTTGCATGACTTCATGACAGTAAAACAGGTGCTTTTTAATTGCTTTCATCGATGTCACAGAACCTACAATCTGTACGTGTAGGTACAACTCCATACAAACCCTTCTAAATTTTTGGTGGGTCGACCCAAAAAAAAATTAGAAAGGTTTGTATGGAGTTTTCTAAGCATAACTGGGCTACGATCTCAGAGACAATTTGCCCCGAAATGCTCATTTTTGGCAAGTAGGCCTCCTGGACATTGTTCTTTCAGAATATCCGGAAAAATCCCATAATTTCAGAAATTTCATTTTTATGACGTCATCACTTTAGTACTCTATAAAAAAGTTCAACGAGCTGAATTTTCGAACACTGGAGCTTCTCTCACCTTTTCTATAAAAATGGATGTGCAATCATTATACCTGCCAACTCTCACGCCTTAGGCGTGAGTCTCACGCCTGTGGGTTGAAAACTTTGATCTTATGCCGGCTTACGCTTGCAGGCCAATTTCTCATGCCTGATTGAAAAATGTGAGTTGTTACCGTCTTGCTTGACACAATTTCCAAAAATATGTTTACTCAGACCCATGTAACGAACGAAAACCATGTGTAAAATGAATAAATGACAATACCTTCCTCGCGATCTCTGATGTTTGAAGTGAAAAGCACTGGGAGCGAGCTCGCGTTTATACGCGTTGTAAGGCTGGGACTGGGATAACTTCAATAACTTCGCCTTCGGCAGACTTCGGACATCTTCGGAAGACTTCGGACTTCTTCCGGAATCTTCGGAAATGATCGTGTCGTCTTTAAAAATCCCAGCACTTCCAGAATAAAAATCTCACGCTTATATCTCAGAAAAAGTTGGCAGGTATACAATCATGTACATGTATTTGAATGAGGATAGACAAGATTATTATTTAATTTTAAAAGTCTTTGCTTAACACCTGAGCCTGGCATTTTCTCCATGTATTTATTGTTTGCCATGGATGTTTTGATAAAAACTCTGATACTGTATTTATTTAACAATATGAATATTGCTGTTTGAATCTATAATTTTAGTCCTGTTTTTACCCATTTAAAATATTTCTGTTTCTGTTTGGCCAAAGTCCAGCTAACTCTCTTTGCAAATGGCAATACCATAAGTTGTTTATGCCAATGGCTTGTATAATTAACAAATTAAAGGACAGCAGAAGACGCAGTAGCTCAGCTCATTTGTTAGAGCTGGAAAAATTAGTGGAAGATTTCTCGTGACTTTCTGCTGAAATAAAACAGTAGCTAATTTAAAAAAAGCATAACTAGAATTGCAAAAATACCCTGTAAGCGATATTAAAAGAAACATGACTTTATAAGCTTCAATAGACTTGAAAGGTGCCAGATTGTCTAGAGGTCTGATGTTATCAGCTGGTTCCACAGCTCAGTTGCAGAGATGGCGAAAGCCCTACTAACAACATACTTGTACATCCTTATGTTGTTTTTGGCACGGGCCAAATGAAGGGCAGAAGATGATTAAAGCCAGCTGTACCTGAGTTCAATATGGTCATCGTGTAATAAAGAATTGCTTGAAAGAGTCTTACGGATGCAGAAGAGAGCTGCACGCATTATATTGGACGGCGAAAGAACAACACGCACGTTAACTATGTTTAATGAACTTAACTGGATTCCATTTTTTATCGAGGCATATATAAGAAGATGTTCTGTATATAGCCTTTAAGAGAATAGAGAGTACAACTTCAGATTAAATTAATTCTACATTAAAGACAAATTCTGAGATTCATAACCGATCCACTTGTTTTGCAAATTTGAATCTTCATTGTCCTGTTTTTAAGAAAAACACAGAAGGAGGTCGAACCTTTATCGTACGAAATATTAAAAATTGGAACGAACCGTCCGTGGACGTTAGAAGGGAAAAAATGTGAAATCTTTTAATAAGAAATTGTATACGAATTTGATTGCTAAGCAAAAAGAGACACTAGGTAATTTTGAATACCTTTTAAAAGTTTTTAAATAGTTTTGAATATCTTTTAAATATTAAGTCTGTAAAATAAGTTGTTTTAGATAGTAAATAGTTTTTAAAATAGTTAAGATTTCTAAATAAGGCTCTAGATAGTTAATTTTCTAAATACTACTATTTGCTTGTTTTTAAATTGCATCTTTTAATGTTAATTTTTATCTTTTTATAGTGATAGTGTAAAATTATTTTAATATTAATTTTGTTTTTATGTTTTATAGAGGGCCACAAGTTTATCAGTTTTTTCATAACTGTCATGTGTTTACCCTCTTTAAACAAAGGCGTTACCTTACCTTACCATTAAAGCATTCATACTGTGGGACGATAAGGAGTAGGCAGCTGTTTAATGCAGGACGGCATCACAAGTTCTTCAGCTTTCATCCTCCTAACTGTTAGCGTGCTTATAATATTCTCTGTTCATATTTATAAATAAAATATAAATATTCCTTTTGTTATTTCAGATGGGTGCCAGTAAATCTAAAGAGGGCAAAGTATTAAGTAAACCTGGAGAGGGTGGTGCCTCGGCAGCTGCTTCTAAGCCTGCCAAAGGTGTGGTTATTCCAGAAGATACTGTACCTTATCCAGGATTACAAGTTCAGTATCACTTGATAAATGTGCAGGTGTGATTTTAATTATTCCATAGAGTGGGTAACATTATTCACTTTGACTACCCTTATCAAATCTACATATATGACTTGTAGCATTTATGTGACATATGTTTCACTGGTCCACATATATGTCACCTATATGTAGATGTATATGTACATGTATGTGACATATATGTAAATCCATGAGGGTGAGTGAGAACATATATGTAATATTTATGTAACTTTTTACATATATGTGACATGTATGCAATTAATCCACAAGGTTGAATGAGAATATATGTGACATATATGTAAATTTTAACATATATTATGTGACATGTAAGTAAATCTGCAATGATTGATGGGAACATATATGCCTGGGGTCATGCTACTCTTTGCAGTCCTTAGAAAAGGCCTGCAATTTTCTAGAGAAATTGCTTGAAAACTCCTGGCACAATGCTACATTTTCTGGTTGAAGACTTGTGAGCTTGTGCAACAGCACTTTCCACTTTTATACAAGTTATTCAGGGAGAGAATGATGGCAGCTGGCTGAGTGGATTGAGAGAGGAAAAGCTAATAATAATACTTTACTAAATATATATAATAATAAATATTACTATTGAGTACACTACACACGACATGCCTCTTACAAAATTGATTTTCCTTTTATTTATGATAATTTATGATACAGGTTACCATGCATTCCAACATAGGCTTTAACTTTGCACCAGGAACCACCATGGTCAGTACCAATATTGATTCATATTACCCAACACTGGCACAAGCATACAGTGAGGGATACAGACTGACCACATTTTATAGGATCCCAGGGGCAGCAAAACAGCAGGGCTTTATGTCTACAGCTGTTAATATTCCATTTCAAGGCATTTTTACCAAGTGAGTATACACTGTAGTTGTTCATTCAGGGCTGCTGGAATTATGTAAAATTATGATGGAATTTCACACAACATCTTATATATTACACCTGATCAAACAGTCTATGAGAAATCTTACTTTTGTAAAATGCAAATTTAGACAAAGTAACATTAGCTGCTGAAAACAGTTTTAAAATGTCCAGGCTATTTAACATTCATTGGAAACATCTGATTGAGGGGTGCCTATGAAATCTTTGTGAGAGCAAGTTTTGTTTGTGAAATCTTCTCTTGACTCAGGAGGGCATTCATTCAAATGGGGTGATGTATCCAATGAACGGGTAATTAATATAACGAAGCCGTTCAAACCGGCTCACATTTCCAGCAAACGGGTGACCAAGCTGTTAGAACCACTGACAAACAGCTTGTTAACGAAAAGCCGTTAGTGTGCGTTTTCGCGTGAGAGGTCCCAATTTTCTGCTTAACAGATCTTTTCTGGCTTGAAATGTGACCTTCTGGATTCTTATTTTCCTAGATTCACACTCTTTAAGATAGACCTTTTCAGACAGTTTTACATGACATGGTTCATTGGTATGGTAGTATTATGTTGATTTAACAAATACTATTTAAAAGTACATGTACATTGTAGTGTTCATTATTATTATTTATGGTAGTGTTCCACAAAATTAATTCCGGTAGATGAATGCATGCATCTTATTATATGGATGAGTCCGTGAGTGGGCAAGGTGAAGCAAATCCTGCATTCTGATTGGCTACCCCAGCAGGCAAGATGAGCGTCATTTGTTTTTGCAATTTTATTGAATGCGACTTGTCTCAGTCAAAAAAAACACAAAAAAGAACTTTGCCAATTTTCAGCCATCTTGACTTCACCCATGGGCAAACGCATATATTATACTATTTGTTACCTTCTTTTTAAACTGTTGACAGATCTGTAGTGTATATTTATTCTTTGTATCTGAATTGTCTTCTTAGATTTCCTGCAGCTCCTCCAAGTGGTGAGAACTGGCAGTTGAAAGTGGACAAGTCCATTATGTTTGTACAACACATCAGACAAGGAATTCTCTCAACATCTTCCATGTCACAAGCAGATACCAGTGACCTGTTGAATAAAATCATGCAGGTTGGTTTATTATTATTATTATTATTATTATTATTATTATTATTATTAGTATTAGTCTTATTAAATCCACAACTAGGTTTCTTGGTCTATTCTCTTATTAAACATAGAAATAATCTTAAATGCTCCAAACTCAAGTGGAACCACAAGCCATATTATTGTACACTGTAGGCAAATCGTCTCACTGCAATTTAAATGAACAGTTATTTAGACTAATTTCAATGGTCAAAGTGTATATACACTGTAGACCATAGAATTTTTTTTGTTTTGGTTTCTTTTTTATGTTCATTTCTGTTGAAGGTTTTCCTCGCAAAAGCGTGAACAAGAAAAGGAGAAAAACAAATTGATTGTGCCACCACCATCACATAAATCATAGCTCTTGACCAATCAGTACATGAGAAATAGCTCAGTTATTTCCGGCGTCTATTTTTTGAGAACGCGCGAAAAAATATTTTAAAGTCAAATCTCGTACTCTTGGTCTTTCTCGTCCTCGAATCTAAAGGCGAAGCTGTCTATTAAGAAAATCTCATACTCATAGTTGTTTCGTCGTAGAATCTATAGGTCTCTATTATTTGCATTGATTTGATCATTCCAGCACACGGCTAGTGGCGGTCAGTTGGTATGTGTAGAAATGACAGGTCAAGCATTGTCACAAGGAATGTCTGCAGCTTGGACAGGAATGTCTGCAGGTAAGACACTGTTGAGCACTTTAGTTCAGCTGAGATCTTATCCTCATGGTTTGAAAGGGGAAAGGGTATTTAAGATGGCTCGATAGGTTTTTTTCAGGGGCAAAACCTCGTTTGAGCATTAACTGCCTCGCTACAAACAAAGATTTGTAAATATGACCACCACAGCTGTATTCGATCTTTATGACAATTTGTTACACGATCATTGTTACAGTGACAGCAAAGTTGTCATAGCAGCGAAATGACCTCATTATCTATTTTTTCATGCAGCCGTATTTCTCGGCAGTGGGAGGTTTTTCCAAGATCGTTCACGGCAGTTTTTTCCACCAGTAACTACCACGATGTTTATTCTAGTGGACTTTGCTCAACCCTCACAAACATTGAGGTAGCCTGTTGCCGCAGACGTAATTTAATATCGGTTAAGGCTGGTTTTCACTAGCGACGGAGTGGGAGTCGGAGTCGGAGTCAAAATCAGAAGCGTAGAGCTTATGAACTAGTGAAAACAGCATTCTGATTCCGCTTACGACTCCGTCGCTTACGTTCCGCTTATGATCCAGTGAAAACTAATTGTCGGAGTCGAAAGCAGCAGCGGAAGGATAAACCAAACACCAAGCGTGGGAACAAGCATTGTGATTGGTTCATCCTTCCGCTTCTGCCCCCGACTCCGACAATCTGGTTTTCTCTAGATCATAAGCGGAACGTAAGCGACGGAGTCGTAAGCGGAGTCGGAAGAAAAAGAAACGTTCTAGTTCTTCGGACTCTGATTCCTTCGCGCTTACGACTCTGCTTACGACTCCGATTTTTTATTTTCACTAGGTCATAAGCGCTCTAACGACTCCGCTTACGAATCCGACTCTGACTCCGACTCTGTTGCCGGTGAAAACCAGCCTTTTGTAACGTCTGGGAAGCAGCATCGAGTTCTGGGCTCCAAACTGATACTCAAAGAAGTACAGGAAATGCGCTTCGATTTCTTTTCATCCTGATTGGCGAATCGGCATTGGCCTTTTTAGCAGGCCAATCATGGCGCGTAGTCAAATCCTGCTACACAGGTTAGGACACAGAACAAGGATTTCGGCGCTGTTTCGCTGACCGACTTAACCAGCGTTAAGGCTAGTCATCATTGAGCGCACTCCAGTAACAGCTCAGAGCAAAGATTAATGTTAAGATGTTCTTTTCTTTTTTATCTTGTTAGGCATGGGAGTTGATTTATTTTTTGACATACCAACTCACCCAAATCCTCGTCGCTATGTTTACCAAGCTGTCAATGTGCCTATCAACGTGTCCGTCTCACCCGGATTCCCAGCGGGGAAAATCCAGGTTTATTGTGATTGGCTAGGACAGATGGCGGCATTTCTCCAACAAGGCTGGCGATTGGTTGAAATTTTCTTGGATCAATCGGGCGCTACTCAAGCCCATGGCTTTTCTGCATCTCAGGCGCTCAATTCTGTGTGGTTCTTCGAGAAAGAGGCTAGTCGAATCAATGATCCCCGCCCTGTTTATGAAGGTACAGTGATAGAGTATGAACACAGGATTGAAGCTGGTTTTGCCCAAGTACATGCGACTCCCCAGTGGGATTCAGTCCTCTTTGAGATGGGAAAGCGTGGATGGGAACTTGCTTGTATCCTGGAAACACCAGAAGTCAGGATGACAGGATTTGCAAAAATGAAAATGAAACTTTTAATGTTTTTTCAAAGAAAAATACCAGGGATGTAACTACAGCTGTGTCGTGAGAACAGTGTCCTGGGACAATTAAGGGTGGGGGTGGGGGAGAGGTGGAGAATGGTTCTCAGTTTAATGTTGTAAAACTAAAACTAGCCAATTACAACGCGAACTGACCGATGATGGTTCAAGCGCGGGCAAATATCTGCAACCTGGGGCAAGCGCGGGAAAAATGCGTGAGGGCAAGTCACGGGTGGTTTTGGTTTTTACTCCTGATTGGTCGAGAAACTGGTGCGAGATTTTTCAGCCAATAGTAACACGTAGCAATGTAATGTAAAGTGGATTGGAGCTCGTCAAACGACAATCGGTCTATCCTCTACTTATTATCGCTTTTAGAAAAGCTATGTGTATAACGTCATGTAAACAGCAGTCCGCAACACATAAACGGAGGATGGTAAACCTTTGGCCAAATTTGACTGCGTATCAGTCTGTTTCGTTTTTTTTTTGTCTCCATTTGCGCGCCGTTTTACTTTTCCATTTGCCACTTTCAGGTGCGGGCCAATAAAAAAAAAATTGCTCTGACAGCACGTAAATCTCTTTGTTCTTTGGCGAATGGAAGAAGCGGATTTCGTCTCGTTGCAGTGTATCCTTTGTGTCAACTACGCAAACGTTCACGGACTTCCTTGTTGCCTGCGGAAATTTTCGGCATTTTGATTTCTCGCAATTCTACGGAAACATTCGAAATACTTCGGGGTCAAATTTGACAATCGTAAGAAATCTTACCACTTCCGTGAACCTCGTCAATCTTTCAAAGTCTTTGAAATGCTTTGGGTTATCTTCCTAGCTGTAACAATTACGTCACGGGAATTGATGGTGCGAACACAGTACGATCTGGAATTCTCTGTACTCCTCTGGTCCATTTGTAAACGCCCAATTTTATTTTACTATCACTTTTAATTAACGAGCATATATTAATAATGTATATATTTATCCTGCTCATTTGCCAGTTCAAAAAGTATACAGGGAGCAAAATGGGTACAAGCTTTTAGCGAAGATATTTCCGGTATCGTTGTCAGGGGAACCCAATGACGAAATGTTTCCGATCGTTTTCTCTATGCTTTTAGTTTAGAAGCCTGTTGTTAATATGGAGCTGCTCTGAAAACTATTCATCTGTTCGGATGTCTTAGGAGAACTTTAGTCGTCTCGAAAGTTTTAGCTACCTTGATGGGTCCGGTCGAAAGTTGGAGGACATGGATCGTAGCCGTACTTTCATCAGATATTGGGTATGGGAGGGTTGGTCTTTATACCGAATTTTTCAGGAGATCGTTCCTAAACAATAATCACAACATTTTAGTTCTAAATTTTGAAAAAACACAACCTGAGAAAAATCATATAAAATAGGTAAGATAGTAGGAATACTCCAAATAACTTAGACGAATGAGACGCTATCCAGACATTTTTAGCCAAAATGTTTAAGTAACATCTGCTCCTTCGACAGTTAGTTTACAGAAAAAAGTCGCTGCGTGCCCCTACGTTGTGGTGGACAGTATATGTAAGCAATAATTGATTAATCCGGATGCCTCTGGATTTGACTAACGCTACTGAAGGCAAACTTTCCCTAGCCTACGGAGCAGGCGTTTTTTTTTTGAAGAAAACTCGGAGGTATAAAGATCGCAGTCGCCATCCTGAAAGCAATGGCGTGATGGAAAAACTTTGGATGGAGGGGCGGACGCGCTCTACCTCTTTTTCAGTTTCAACGTCCAAGAGGGTGAGAGATCATTTATAGTATCATCGTTGGACTGCAAAAAACGCCTGCTTTGCGGTCTAAACTTTCCAATAAAATGTGGCTCCGAAAGCCTCTGTACTGTCCATTCTCTCTTCTGATGGAGTGGCGCGTTGTGCCATTTAGAGTACATTCGACGAGAGAGGTGAATCAGTTGCCAGAGTTAAGGCCGACAAAATTGTCAGTTAATCATTTTTAACGGCACCTTTGTTAAGCGGCCACTTCTCTCGTCGCTGCGATGCCGGCCGCCTAATAACAGTTCGACTGCCATAAGTGTAGGCATATTATTATAAGTCAACTGTGTATTAATCGCCAATATTCAGGGATGAATGGAATACTAGAGAGGTTTCAGGGTAGTCTCGAATCGAATTAGTGGAATCAAATGGATTTTAATTAGACAATTACATAGTGGCATTATAATAAAGAGTTCAAAATTTTGTGTGTGAAAGGTCACAAAGTGGAAATACCACAAATAAAAGTATTGTCATTAATATCACTGAAGTTGTCGGTATCGCTGATTATCACTACCCATCTGCCAGACCAACTGGTCAAAATGCGCCAATTACGTAGCAGAGTATCCGCAGACAACATTTCGGCTTTAGACCGGTCAGCACGGGCTACAATTTTTTCGGCTGGATACGTAAAGAAAAGAAGGCGAACGTCCAAAATGACCCGAATTTCAAACATCTGCTGCACTGCTCTCGGGGGGTGGTGAGGGTGGCTTGACTAATATTTGGGTATAGGTGAGCCGCTGAGGGTTTTAAACCCTGACCCTGTTTAGGACAAAGGAGAAAATGCACGCCGTCTATAGACATTACTTTTGTATACAAAATTTATCGAGGAAATCAAATCGATCGTGCTGGAAATACCAGACACACACGAAATTTTGTACCCTGTTTGGAACAGAGAGGTCAAAAACCAACCTCGTCCCCAGAGCTTCTCCCTTAAAAAATGGGTGTGGCGAAAGGGAAAAGCCCTGGGACGAGGTTGGTCAAAAACCATACCCTGTCCAGCGGCACACCCCCGTAAAGGCCTTATAAGGGAGTACACCCACCCCCCCCCGCCCCCTTTCCCCGGCTGCACTGCAACGCCACGTCCACACGAATCCTGGGATAGGCTGAAACCGCATACTTAATATCTGCGTCAACACGAATTCGGCGTGGTGTATCCGGTTTGTATTCGCCCATCCATACGAATACGCTACCGCGGTTTATAGTTGCTGACTAGGATTCACGTCTACGCCAAACGGCAGACGTGAATTTGTACCACGTGACCAAGTTTTCCCCTTATTTTCCGTTTACTCTTCATTGCTTATACTTAAAAAAATAGTAGTTTTGTGCCAGTTTTAACCATAGGAAATCGTTTGGGACTGTTTTTATCTGCTTATTTTCTATTCTGAGAAATTCTCAACTTGAGTTTGACGTTTGCTGTTTGCGGGAAACGTGATCGACTGGCCGAGTATCTTTCCTAGTTCCAGCGCTCTTAGCCAACATTTCACACATGTCTCAAGCAGGAATGTCAAAGAGAAATAACTAGTAGGCAACGGCCGATCATTCATGTCACTCGTCTGGAGCGACGATGCCGCCAAACATTTGCTAAAAATAACCAGCGACTACAAGATATTGAAGCCGATGGAAAACGTCCAAATATTGTTTATTAATTAATTAATTTATTTGTATATTTATACAGGAACAGCATATTATAAAGAAGCTAATATAAAAAGAGTCCTGTGAAAAAAAAGATACAAAGAGAATCAATATACAGAGAGTAGCACATTAAAAGTACGTAGACAAGCGACAATAAAAAGATTCAAGGGATAGCCTAGCGCCAAGGAGTTGAACGTATTTAGGTCCGTTGCAGATCCCATATTAAAGGCGATGGAATTATAGAACTTCTAGGAACATTGAGCTACAGCTAGTGTGTGACCTATACAATATATTTAAATACTGTATGCTGACGCGTTTTGAAGTTGGCAATTAATTGCAAGTACAGAGGGATATTATTTTGTCGGGTATTTCAATTCTCGGTTCTAGTCAGTTCCAAATAACAACTGCTTTCAGTGACGAATTTCCCTCCAAATTTAAGCTCATGATATGTTGAGACTCGCGTACTTAGTTCCTTCGTTTAATACACTCCTCCCCCCCCCCCCCCCAATACCCCCCCCCCCCCCCCCCCCCGCTTCCCCCTGTGTATAAGCCTCATCAAGATATTAGCCTCTCAAAAAAGGCTTAACATGCCCCGAGGCTTACTTTCGAAATTTTACTGCGAGTGTTTTGTTAGTAATTAAGCGATCTATTTGCAGTAAACCGAGCAGATCGTTAGTAAAAACACGGCACGACGAGGCAATTTAGTAGGTGTTTTGGATAAAGCCATCAGCAAATGACGTCATGCAAGGGATTTTACAAGGTACTGAAGCGTTTTCACACCACAAAATAGTAGCCAACTATCAGTAGTTTCCCAGAAACACGTCATTTAGTTTGCATTCAGTTTAGTCAAGTGACGTAAATTTATTGACAGGTGTGAAATGTTTTGTTTACATAAAGATTTCCTTGTTTTCCGGCAATCGAAAGTTTCAAAAAGTTACAGAAATCAGCTGGGGTTGAAGCGCCTTTTCTACGAACTTGTTGGGTGCTGCTTGACTCTGTCCTCAACGCAAACGAGGTACGCTTTGATTTGATGGGTGATCAGGGAACAGATTCATCCCAGTTTCTTTGAAATTGTTAAAGTAACTCCCTCCTCTGGACTTCTGGATGATAAATGCTAAGAACTGTGAGAAAGATTTCAGTGGGAAGATTTCTGCGATTTAGAATTTCTTAATTAACAGAAAAGTGTGCTATTTATACACAATAGTTTCAAATCACTTCTGTTTACGAGGGAGATAGTGGGTACTTCCATGAGGAATCTGTTCAGTAGTAAATCTGTTCAGAGTAAGTGGTTTCTGCATCGAGGTAGGCGGTTAATCTTATTCATCAGTGACTGTTTGCGAATTTGATTCACGGTGACTATTTCAAATTTCGGTCCTCTGGCAATGAATGTTCTATGGTATATATACGAAATGCCTTGAGTGTCATAAAAAACTAAAATTTCAGAATCGTTATTACATTGAGGTAGACTCATCTTTTTTCCTGGGTCTCACTTGGTTACAATACCAGTACAGTGTGTCTTTTTTGAATCATCAATTTTCAATTTTTTTAAAAAAACATGTATGAAGTTCTCTTGATACTAATTCCCTTCCTTTCTTCAATTCCGGTTATGAGACAAACTGTTAAAC